TTCCTCCTCCTGCAGCACATGACTCATGGCTGGGCTATTACCACCAAAGAAATGAAATCCCAGGTATCAGTGGACTGCCTTCCTTTCCAATTTCTCTCTGAAAGTCTTTCAAAACCTGAGTGATTATTGTGAAGTCCAAATCTCTAGCCAAGTTGTAAGTTGAGGAACAACTCAAGGCCCTACCAAGTGCAGAAATGTGAAGCTAAGCTTCACCTCCGCAGCCTCAGGTGAGTTCGGGTGAGACACACCATGCTGCTGCTCCCTCCGAAGGCCTGCTGCGAAAGAAGTATTCGAGATGCTCAACCCTCCTCTTCAGAACCTTTTTCTCCACGTGACTTCATGCACAAGAGAAGCCAAAACAGACAAAACTAGAGACAGACTGCACATCTGCGCTTGTTAGCAGCAGGCTTCTTTATCTTCCCCTAATCACTATCCTGTCATTATTATGGCTTTGCTTCTGCAAGCTGGAGCTCCTATACACAATCAACATCACAGGATTCCTTTACAGCCCCCACAGGCCCAGAAATAACTACAAACTTTGGGAGATCACAGAGTTATGAATTTCAGCTGAACAGAACACCTTTAAAAGTAAGCAGAATTTCATGAGGTTTTGTAAACAAAGACATAAATCTGTTGCGTTGCTCACTGCAACAATGAACATCTCGGCTATAAAACAGGAAATGTTTATTCAGACAGATTTACTTCAGTGTGGCGATGTTAAATCATGGGTGCAGGACTTGGGAGAAGAATGCCTTTGAAAATGTGCAGGGAGACTTGTACTTTCTAAACTTTTACCACATATAAACAAAATAGCATTGAAGATTGTTGTTACTTTCCAATCTCTCTCTGAACTTCTTTCAAAACCTGAGTGCTCATTGTGAAGTCCAAATCTCTGTAGCCAAGTTGTAAGTTGAGAAACAGCTCACGGCCCCGTCAATTTGTACTACTAAAAATTAGTAGTCTCCCTAATTTCATAGGTAAGCAACATAAAAATCCATCCTTGGTATATACCCAAGAGAAATGCAAACGTAACGCTGCATAAAAATTTATACATGTCCTTCATAGCCAGATAATGAATAATTCACAATAAGCAAAAGAAGAAAACAACCCAAATGCCCATTAATTGATGGATAAACAGTATTATATCTATACAATGGAATATTATTCAGTCATAAAAAGAAAGAAAATATTGATTACGCTATAACTTGGATGAAACTTTAAAACATTATTCTAAGCAGGAAAGGCCAGTCACAAAAGATCACAGATGGTCATATGATATGTCTAGCACAGGGTCATCTATAGAGGCCGAAAATAGCTTATGCTTGTTTAAAGCCGGGGTACAGAGAAGGGAAGAAAGACAGTGGTAGCTAACGCATACAGAATTTCTTTCTGAGGTGATGAAAATGTCCTAAAACTGATTGTAGTCGTGATTAGACTTCTCTGTAAATCCATATTAGAGGTCACCGAACCACACACCTGAAGCAGTGGAATTGTATAGTACAACAATTAAATTTCAATAAAGCAGTAAAAATTGTCCTTTAAAATTTAATAAGTAAAAGTGACCTGCTTTAACCATTGTTTTAATACCATTTCCCCTCCACCCTCTGTCTCAGAAGCTTCTAAGTACTGGGACACTTAAAAGTGTGTTTTAAATTCATATTTCTGTCAGGCCTTGGGAATGAAAGGAAATATCTTAGTGCTTGCTGAACACCGGACAGTGTACTGCAAGAAGCCAAACTTTTCAGAATGCCAGGGCTCTGACTAAGGATGCTGCTCTAAGTCTGACCTTTCCAGAGACGGTTAAGTCAAACTCTGACTGGAGTGCCAAACAGCAGCAACTCCCCAGGGGCACTGAGAGGGCCGAGCGGCGCTGCAGCTGAGGCACATTTTCTGTCATGGCCTATTGGTCACTCTCTGACTTTGACATGTCTCACCTTCACTGGCATTGAGGAAGCCCCGAATTCCCAGATCCTTTTCTCTCCTCTCTGATCACTCTTCCTCTTTTTCCTACTCTCTCTTCTTCCTGTATCTATCATTAAACTCTAGCATCTTCCATTGTTGTGCTAGCTCTTAATTAATACATTGTGTCTATGCAGTTTAATGATTCCCACTGCTTTAGCTACCACTGACTCATGCATCCTTAATTGCAGTTGGAGCCCCTGTCTCAGCTTCTCTGTTGGGTGTTTCTAGCTCCAAATCTGTAACAGTGGCCTGGGGGTTAAATTCTAAGATCAACTCATACCCCAAATAATACACATCACCTCAGTTTCTCTTTAAATTCCCTTGGGGAGGCCACGTGTCAGAGTTCCTGCCTTGGCCCACTCTGTACTGTTGAATTGTGCAAGATATATCCACGCCCAGTACGATTCTATGGCACCTCTACCTTTACACACCAAAACTCCACATGTGCCCCACTGGCCTGCCCACACTCTGACACCTTTACTCTCCACATGCACGGATGCCTCTATAGGAAACCCCTGGCTACCAAAGCCTAAACTCCAGGAGTCGTTTTTCTCCTCTTCCTCACCAAAGCTCATCAATATGATGCCTGTTTATTTAATGACTTGTTTCAAACTTTCATCACCTTTCATTTAGCTGGAGTGCAAACTTGTCTCCCTACCTTTCCTTTTTTTTGCCTCCAATTTGGTATCTCGCACTATTGGTTTTTGCACATACAAATATGATCAGATTTCTCCTCTCTGCAGCGATTTTGCAAGCATTTTTGTAGCAAATAACACAGTCCTCCCTCCACAGTCACAGATTTAACCAACCACAAATGGAAAGTATTGTGGGCAAAACAACTGCATCTTCACTGGAAATCCACTGACTTTATTATTCCCAAAACAATATAACTACTTGCATACCATTTACACTGTACTAAGCATAATAAGGAATCTATAGGTTATTTTGAGAGGATTGCATAGGTTATATTTCATCTATATTATCTAATCTCAGAGACTTAAACATCTGTGGATTTTGGTATCCAAGGGAGGCCTTAGGTCCCATCTGCCATGTACATAGCAGGATAATGTATTATTTTCAAAATATCACATAAAATTCTATACCCACAATAAATAGGACCCTTATTTTACTATGATTAACTTACTTTGTAAGTTTCAAATGAATAGAAACCAATACATGAAAATATAATAGGTAGTTGTGATAAAATAAAAAATTCAAAATCATTAGCAATAGAATTACATAAGCATCATTTTGTTATTATTTATCTTACTGATTGCATGCATCTAAAGAATCGTAGAAAAAAATAAAAAATTGTGATTCATATTACTAGGTATCCACCAATGGCAATTACTTTTTCTTCCCAGGAGTTCACCTTTCAATCTTAGACTACTGTTCATTTAAAAGAGACTCTAAAATGCATATACAAGTAAATGTACCTGTCACATATTTTACATGGTTGCTGAGTCCTGCCTGATTAAACCTTCATATGTAATATTTAGAGTGTGTTTTTGAATTAACTTTTAAAAATGAAAGTTAAAGCAAATAAGCTGGGGAGATAGCTTGGAGGTCTAAGCACCTTCTTAGCAAGCACAAAGACCCTGGTTCAATCCCCAGGACCTTATGCCATGCTGGCCCTGTGACAAGCCAGCTAAGGAAACCAGGTGTGGTGGCACACACCTGTAATCCCAGAACTGGGTAGCAAGACCCTGTACCAAATAAATAAATAAATGATTTTTTAAATTAAAAATTAAAGCAAACAGTTAATCCTTTAACCTCCTCTTCAAAACCATGACTTCATGGGATTAAATTTGAAAACCAGTGATTGGTAGGTGCTAAAGCCCAAACCTCTTACTATGATGTGAAAGATTCCAAGTTAGTTGACTTTATCAACAAGCCACATGTTCCCACACCTGCCAAACTTTTACCCAGTTCCCTAAATCCATCGCCTGTGTCATGTAGCTCTGCTATATGCTTGACATTTTTCTACCAAATGTAACCGTGAACTACTGCCTTCTAACAACTTATCATTCAGCTTAGTAACAAAGATTAAAGTGCTAACCTCCTGATAAGGCAGGACTTCCTCCAAAGCACCTTTATATAACTCTGTCTTCATTATAAGTCACCTTGTAGGATGATTATATTTTCCTCAACCATGAGCACCTAAGGACTAGTTTTTATTATCACATTTATTAACACTTTTATTGTACAAAATAATGAGTCTCAAGGTAAAATCCATTTCCCTGCACGCGTATGTTGTGTTTTCATCATATCCACACCCTCCCTTCTGCCCTTACCTAGCTCTCATTTTCTTCTTCCCAGTTCCTTTCCCCTTCACTAACAGATACTCTTCCTTTAGGTTATCTTTTTAAATTCCCATGTTTCTGACTGAGATGGGATAGAACATCCTTATGGTTTTTATTTATATTTCCCTGGTGGCTAAAGATATTTAGCATTTTTTGCATATTTATTGGCCATTCGAATAAGAAGCACTAAGTTAACTGTCTGAGCTCGCATGGCCTTTCAAAGTACCTACAAACAAGTATCACTATGTAAATGACTTCAATTAATTAATGAGTATTAATAACAATATCCAGTACAGTGATTACAGCGGTTGAAATTGCATATTTGCCTAAGACAGTCCACAGCTAATCTTATTATTTGACCATTTAGGTTAACTCAGTGATAAGCAGTAATCACCATTCTAAACCACGCTAATTTTAATTTCCCCCCTTTTTTGGTTTGTTTTTAAGGAAGGGTCTACAGGGTGTTCAGGGTCTCACTACTAGATCGGACTCATAGTGATCCGCCTGTTTACAGCCTACCAAGAGCTGGGATTGCAGGCGCGCCCCGCCACCATGCCCAGTCTCAATTGCCATTTCAGCATGCCCTGGGGGTCGGGGTGGGGCTGGCATGGCAGGCCCAGGAATTGAACCCATGGCCCTGTGCCTGCTTGCAGGCATTTTAACCAAGTGATCTATTTGGCCAGCCCTGCTAATTTTAATTTTGACTTCATGTTCTTACATAACGAAATTACCCACCAACAAAAGAGAGCAAGATGGCCAGTAGAACAACGAGAGCGCAGATACACGGAATCAAGACCAGCAATAGGAACCGGAGAAGATTCACGGTCGCCAGCTTCTGAGAACAGCCGTCGCCCATGTTATTGTCATCAACTCCCAAGACCTAAGAGAAGAGAAGAAAATGAAACATGGCTTTAATGTTACACAGCAAACCAATGCATGGTACGAATTTTAGCTTACAGTTATCCATTGAGAATGGCAGCATTCGTAAGAGATTTTACTGCATATACTTGAGGGTGTGACGAATAGCCACAAATCACTCTAATAAACAAACCAAGACATCTTCTATGTCTGAAACATTTTTCCATAATAGACAAACTTTTAATGGTATTCCAGCTTAATTTTTTAACTTATTTATTGGTTTGGTATTATTCCAAAGAGCTATTAATCACCAATGTGAGAACTCACCCTGACCCAGACCTGTATGCAAAGACTGGATAGTATAAAGCTAAAATATTCATCTGTAGGCAAAGAAGGGACACTAACTACCCATCATTTTTATTTGTCTCATTAGTCATAGCCCAAATTGGCATGAATCTGGTCACAAGAAGTTTTCAGGCACTAATAATTCAGCAAGATTTAGTGAGACATGGTCTGTTTGCCAGTTAAACACTAACAACTCTGAGGATATGCTGGGCCGTCACACTGTCCTGAATCCCTCCACTATGAGCAGATCATGGGGCAACACAGGATTGTTGCATCAAGTGCTTTAAATTGTGCTTAATTCAATCTTTTGCCAGAAACAATGTCTGGGAATTTATTAAGAACATCTAGCAGAGGCCAGTGACTTTTTTCAACAAAGTCTAAGATGACACTAAAAGTGCTCTGAGTCATGGTGCACTACTCCTTCGGTCCGCTTAGTGAAAATGCTTCCCGTGATTCCCTATTAAACTTCTGACTCTGTACCTCTACCTCTGTTTCAGAGCTTGAACTATAACCTCTATGCAAATATCTCCTGCACTTCTCTCGAGTCCTGAGCTTCCTCTCAAGTTGCACCAAGCTTTTCCAGTGTCTTATGGTTAGCAGCTCCTTTATTCAACGTACCTAAAGCCTAAGTGAATCTTCTCTTGCTCATTCCCTCCTGCCCTCCGTGTTGTAGTCACAGACACGCCAGTGTTCCAGGAGCTCACTCCCCACAGCACTGTCAGCCCATGCCACACCTCACAAGGTTTTGTTGGCTCTTCCTCTAAAATAAGTATCTATTATATTCCTTTGCAAGGAATTATGGACTTCCTGGCAAAGGTCCTTAAAAACTGAAGGAGCTTTGTTACAAGGCCTTATCATAATCAAGAATGTGTTCTGACAACATTAGATTTCCCAGCAAGTCTCCAATCATTTTCCACAGAAATGCGAAGCCAGCTCTGCTGGATTCTTCCAAGTTACGAGACACATGCGATTCTCCAATTTTTCTTTATTTTACCTTCATCGGTTTCAATTTTTGTTCAACAAAACATACTGTAATCTGTGTCCACTGCATGCAGTGTATGAAGTAGAATCTGTCATTATAAGACTTCTCAACACACACACACACACACACACACACACACACACACACACACACGCTTAAAAAAATTGTCTAAAAGCACTTATGGTGTTAGCTTGCATGGGATTAATTTTCCTAGGCTCATGTCTTTACCGACCCATTTCCTCTGTACCAGAAGTTTAAGCAACCAGCCTGTATGAGATTATCATAGTTAATTTACAAACAATCTTCAAGGTGACACAGCACTGGCAGAATACGGTATAGAATAGCACACTCACTACAACAGCAGCACTGGATGGGTGGTACTCTTTCAGGCTTGTAGATAACATGTGTTAGGAAAATCAGAGATAATTCTAGGTCTACAGGCCCACAGAAATGTGGCAGAATCAACTTCATTCACTCACAATTTCATTCACTCAACAACTGAATGCTTAATAATTATATTAAATGCTTGATAATTATAAATAATTATAATAAATAGTGATAGACATAACAAAGATTTCAAACAAATTATTCATTTGAAGCTCACAGTCTTAACAGAGAGACAAATTATGTGCATAAATAATTATATTTCAAGGTTGCAAATGATGAATACCATGAGACTGAAAGCTAAAGTGCTACAGGAATTGAAAAGAAGAATATGATTTTTTGTTGAATGATCAGGTAAGACATCATAGAGAGAGAAACACCTGAGCCAGCCATAATTCCGAGAAATGAACCCCCGGCAAAGTACCCTTGTTAGGTGTAAAACATGTAAAATATATCCAGAGGGGTAAGGAATTATGAACTTCCTTGCATTCCTACATTATAGAAGAAATTTCCTTATTAAAGTGCTCCCAGAAGAATCACAGGGATAATCTTCTTGGGTGGCAATGCTTTTTGCTATCTGGAATCCTGCAAGGAAGCACATTCCATTTAGTATCCATAAAACAAGAGCCAGTGGAGGAAACGCTAGCGCCTTAGGTGACTATTTTGTACATCAAAAAGTACCTCCAGAAACTGTACTCATGATTAGTCCAAATATTTTCAGTTTCTCTAGGAAATAGGCTGAAATTTAAGGGAGAAAAGAAGAAAATACTCAGAAGAAATGCAATATTCTAGCATTCTCTCTTTAATTGTAAAACTTTATTCTTGCCCTCATAACCACTGGGGACTCCTGCTGCAAAAGCTGCCCCATTCAGAGGTCCTCTGGGATGTCTCTGAACACAGGCCTCTCAGACAGACTTTACTTGCCTGTGAAAAATGCCAGATGAGACAAATAGGAGACTCCTTATCTCTGCTTCAGTGAAGCCTGAGCAATCCTGTCTGCAGGCATGCCTCTCCCCAGTCTACTATCCACATCCCTGAAACTAAACTCACCAGAGGCATGGCATGTAACTTATGCTGTGCACATATCAAAATGTATGCCATTGTTATATTTTACTAATTGTGTTATAAAAGTTTTCTACTTTTATCTTAAGAATGATGCTTATTTTAAAACCTATCTTGTTGATTTATATAACATAATAACATCATATGCCTAATTAGGATATTTTCTTAACTTAATTTAGTATTTGTCATACTCTGGGGTTTTGCAAGGGGAACACAGTACAATATAGGACACCTAATTATAAATTTTTTTATAATAGTCACCTGAAGAGTTGTGTACAAAAAGAGTGCAGTAAAACTGTCCACATACTAAAGACCAAAGAATCCAGCTAAGTGCCTGGGTCCCAAGGTAATGTCCTGCATGAGTCCCGCTGAACACCTAGAGCCCATGACAGTGCCACCCACAAGTCCAAGTGGAGGCCAAGAGCCCATGACAATGTCGTTTACAGGCCTATTTTATAGATCTGCACTGAGAAAGGTCAGTGGTGGACGCTAGAATGTCCATGTGAGGGGGATGAAAGATCTGTGCTGCCAGCCTGAGGGACCTGCAGTAGAGCAAGGAAGCAATTCTCAAAGTAAGAACCAGGGCTCCCCCAAAAAGTACCACAAGGCATCCTCAGTGACAAGGTCCCAAGCTCCTCTGAGGATGAGAACAACTGAGTTCATACCAGGGTACCGCACAACAAGGTTCTCCAAGAGATTGAGCAGTGCACCATCAATCCCTCCGAAGCCAGGAAGCAATTCTCAAAGTGAGGACCAGAGATCCCCCCAAGTGAAGCATAGCCATTCTCGGTGACAACAAGGTCCTCAGCTCCTTCGACAATGAGAACATCTGAGTTCATCAGGAAAGCCAGCGTGACAAGCTCCTCAGGAGAACAAACAGCTCTCTACAGCTTCTGAACTTCTTCCTTAAGTGTTAGTCCATGTCAGTAATACTAATAACATTAAACAAAAAAGGGGATACAAATGAAGGGCAATTTTGTATCTGTATATACAAAATAGTTGGGATAGATATACAATTACTTTTTCTTAATTCAATAAGAAAGATTTGTATTAATGGCATTTGGACAGGATATCATGTCTACATCTTGTACTATGAATAACCACTAGGAAGATAACAAAATGCAATGTATTAATTATTGAAACTGTCCTGCTAATCAGTTTTGAAACCATCTCATTGCTGTTTCTCAATAAAAAATAATAAATAAATGAATCATGGGTGAAAAAATAATAATAACAATAATAATAATAATAATAAACTTCTTCCTCTCTAGTTCTGCCTTTTGTGCTGCTGCACCAATCCTCATGTGAGCCTTCTATGCCCAGTGTCATGTTGGTTTAGTTCAGCTGGGTGCTACAAGTTGACCACCAGTTGCCAATCCACCACATACTCCTAGGAGGCCCTCTCAGTTCTGCAATCTGCATTCTCAACTTACTATAGTTGCCTCTTCGCTTGCTGATTCAGTTAATTTCACCACAACCATCCTCTGACTCTTAAGGGATTTGCTATTCATTGGCCCCTGTAATCTTATTTCAGTCTATCAACTTTGTCCTTTTTTAATTCCCACAATTGAAAATTGAAGATTGGAAATGTCATTTGGCTTTGGACTTTCTAGACCTTCATTTCAATGACATTGAAGCTATCACCCTGAACCTCCTAGCTCTCATAAATTTTCCTCTCACCCATCTTTCATCTGCTAAAAGCTAACACTAAATCAATAGAACCATCTATGCTCTGTATCCACAATTCAAGAATTGACTGTGGCTATCAAAAATGGCCCAGTAAGATTATGTAACTCTTAGAGGGATTATTTTTTTTTCTTTTCAAAGTTTTATTGATAAACATATAGCAATGAGACAGTTTCAAATCAAATCG